TTAGGGTTTAGGGGTTTCGAGGTTTAGGGGTTTAGGGGTTTAGGGAATCGGGCCTTCAGGCAAATGCGTCTGCACCTTTCTTGCTCAGAGCCCTAAAGTGAACCCTAAACCCTAAACCCTAAACCCTATGAACTTTGGTGTTACAGACATGGTTTGTAAGTGCCCAGGAGCCCAGGAATCCTTGAAAGGCTAGTTCAGGTCTGAGGGAGGGTCAACTCCCAGTGTCGGGAACGTGGAGGAGCTTGAAACTAGAATTGAAGAGTTTAGGCCGTATAGGGCGGCTATGCAGCTGGGTTTACATCGACATGGCCAAGCTTTTACTGGATGTTGGCAAATGCTGGGTTCACCATGTGAGTAAAACAACCCTGGATCCCAACACCCCTTGACCCAAGGTTGGCCGTTGAGAATCCCAAAGCCCGAACCTCGATGACAGAAGGGCTTACAGGGTTTTGTGAGGTTTTGGGTCTCGGGGTTGAGGGCTTGGGGTTTAGGATATGATGGTGTAGGGCATTGTGGAGGTTTTGGGCTGGGTTTTTGCAGTTAGTAACAACCTTTCGGCAAAGTATGGGCCACAACCCTAAGCCTCGTAACCCCAATACCTCAGGCCCAACCCCCATAGTTGTACTCATACGCAATCACAAGGTTTATGAAACAGGCTAAACCCTAAACCCTCGTATTCTACATCGCAGCAGGGAATCTTGGAGCTTGGCACTGCGGCGTAACGCTGGTACCTGGGCCACTGGTAATACATAAAGCACTAAGGGTCAGGGTGTAATTCTGGTTTAAGGAGTTTAGCATTCAGGGCTTTAGGGGTTTGAAGGCTTAAGGTTTCTAATTTAAGTAGGGATAGGATTTATAGGACCTGGAAAACTTGAGTTGAGGGCTCAGTTTAACGGTAGGCAGGACCTGGCAGCTCAAGACACTTGAGAAAACATGTCGGTCAAGCCTGCTATCTCAGTTATCGCAGTGGTATTCCCAAGCCCCGGCTAAGCAACAAACACGAACCAGCGGTGGAAATCTCGTACCCACAAACTCGAACCGCACCTAAACTACCCAAACTCCAAACCCTAAACGGTAGACTCGAATATCCTTTATCTCAGGGCCTGATGAAGGATGCTTCTCTCAGCAGACGCGGGACTCCGAAGTCCAACCTCCGCACCCTCACCTTCACACCCCCGGCCCCCTTCTTCTGGGGTTTTAGGGGTATGCTAACTCAGAGCTAAACTGACAATTGTGTAGCAGAAACTCTAAACCCAGACATGGGCGATAAGGGGGTGGGTAAGCCTCGACGTCCGGACCGTAAAATCCTTCCAACTCATGAGTAACATTTATGGGTTTGGATTTACGACGGGGTAAGGGTTTAGGTTGGCGGCTTCAGGGTTTGAGGCCCTGGCGAGACAAGGTCCTCCTTCGTCAGCTGAAGTTCCTCCTGCGCACATGCTCGAGAGTTCACGATCACGGGGCTAGGGTTACGCTCACGACTAGGGGCAAAGCTAGACCTTTCGATGGAGCTTTGGGGTTGGACAGTTTGGCCCTAAGGTACAGAGACAGCTGTGCCGAATGACTTAGAAAGCTAAACCCTGAACCCAACCTGAAGCATAAACCCCAAACCAGGTCATAGGGATTGGGTTCAAAGCAAGGACCAGGCTGCCGGCAAAGAGTGTGAGGACCCTCAACCGTGTACGCTTGTGGGATTCAAGGCTCACCTCAAGGTGCAAATGTGGTTTAGGGCTCTGGGTTTACATGGCTCAATGCGCTTCTGCTCAATCTGCTGTTGAGGACACGACGATGGCCAGAGCCGGGAACAGAAGGTCTGCAATTACAATTAGATGTCAAGCACGCGATGGTTTATGCTTCGCCGGGGTAGGATATATACATATATAATATATATATGTATGGATATATACAATTCATGATTCAAGGCTTATGGCTTGTGGCTTCTTGCGGCCTATGACTCCGGCTTTTTGGTTTCTAGGGCTTAGGCCCAGACGCCTCGACCTCAATACATACCCTAAGCCCCTACACCATGTCCCTTCTAGAACCCCTACAAACGACCATAAATCCTAAACCCTTAATCCGGTCATAGACGATGTGTATTATATTTAGAAACCACGTCTGATCGGGATCCTCGAATTGCATCTTCTATATCAAGGTTACTCATTTGAGTATTTTGCGGATGAAAATGCCGACGTGGAGGGAACAACTGACGCAATCCCGTGTCCCTGCAACCCCCAAGCTGCCCCCGGCACTTCCCCGTAGCCTGCCACAACCTACTCTTATACAACACCCCTGCGAATTTCTATCATCGTCGCTCATGTTAAGACCTACATGACTGTAGGTTGTGGGAGCTGAAGGTACTGCATCTCCCGGATTTTCTTCAAGATCTCGGCTTCAGTGTTGAGGACCAGCTTCTTCGCTGCTGCCTCCAAGAAGGTCAAAGAGTCAAAGGCTTATGTTGATAGAGTCTTCCGGGGGTCTTAACTTAACAATCGGAATGTATGGTTTGGGGGTGTAGAAGTCGGGGCATCTTAGAGAACACACACACACATATTTACATATATATATATACAAAAATATGCTACCCCCTCAAGACCTACCTCGAAGCTTCCCTGTTTACATCGACACGACCCCGCCCTAAAAACCAACATAATCATGCTAAGTATTGCTTAATATTCCTTGTTTACATGTACATGACCCCGCCCTAAAACCAAAATAATCATGCTACGTGTTGCCTAATATTCCCTGTCTACATCGACACGACCCGCCCTAAAACCCAAATAATCGTGCTAAGCATTGCCTAATATTCCTTGGTTACATCTACAGGACTCCGCCCTAAAGCCAAAATAATCATGCTATGTGTAGCCTACTAGTCCGTATTTGCGTCGATACAAACCCAATCAATCCAAAATAATTACAAGCCGTATATACCTAATCCCTGACTTCACAAATAAGCGCCCTTCCGAAGTCGTAATGAAGCCGTGTTGCTCGCCCATAGGGCACCTTAGTTGCTACTGGGGCCAGCCG